GAAATGGTGTAGGGTCTCCTGCTTGGGCGGGGGGGGGGGTTTGACTAGATGACCTACAAGGTCCCTTCCAACTCTTGCGAATTTGTTAAACCTGGGCTAAAGCTTTCAAGAAGAGACTGGACTGCCATCTGTCAGAAATGGGGTAGGGTCCCCTGCTTGGGTGTGGGGTGGGTCTAGATGACCTCCAAGGCCCCTTCCAACTCTGTTAAATCAGTGTGTGGGGCGGGTGGGGGAGAAGATAGCAACCGCCTTAAGTCACCCACTGCACTCTTTCCTTCCTGTTTCGGGGGCTCACGCGGCGTGTTGGCCACTGCCATGGCTTTTGCTCCTGTGGGAGGACCCCAGAGGCAAATGAATGTGTGTGTGTGTGGGGGGGGAGAGAACAGCAGACGGTGATGTGCAAGTTGTGTTCTGCAAGCGAAAGGACTGGGAGTGGGTGGGTGGGCTGCAGCAGCTTTCAAACGCGTCTGGTCTTTTTACCTTGAAATCCCTTAAAATGTGGCGTGGCCAGAAACGGGAGTTCGGTGGAGCCGGACACATGGCTTGTGAAAGCCATGCCACCGGCAGCCTTTTTAGGGGTGTCTTGGCAGCAGCGGGGGAGGGGGTTCCTAAGGGGCACCCACCCACCCCTCAGAATATCCCTGCAATCTGGGCAGCCAGCCAGGAAGCTTCAAAGGGGAGAACTAAGGAGAAATTTCCTGACAATGGGGACAATGAAATCCGGCCTCCAGAAATTGTGGGTGCGCCAACGTTTTCAAGAAGAAACTGGACAACTATTTGTCTGAAATGGCCGATAGGGTTTCCTGCTTGGAGCAGGGGGAGGCTGGACTAGAAGACCTCGAAGGTCCCTTCCAGCTCTATTCCGATGGATTGGCGCAGCTTTCTCTCTGCTGGGAAAGGACGGCCGCCTCCCAAGGAGAGTGTGGGAAAAAGCCACAAGCCAAACCGAGCCGCAGGGCCAAAAGGCTGGCACAGGATTTTCATGGCGGGCAGCTGCCAGGCAGGAACCCACCTCACACTCCCTCCCCCCTTTGCCGAGTTCCTTGCCCAAAAGTCCCTCCTCCTCATCGTTAAGATGGGATTTCTCCCCCCAACCCCTCAGGTGATCAGAAACAAAGACGGAGAAACGTTAGATATTCAAGACTTAGAAATGGTTAAGATATTCAAACATGCTGCATTGGAGGTGGCTGATATGACCATGCCCCCCCCGACCCTCCCTCGATGGTGTCCCCCTTGCCTCACCTGTTGGAATTGGCTGAAGCCGTGGGCCCTGGCCAACAGCCTGGCCTGACCCTCAGGAAGCAGTAAGTGTTGGAAGGGACCTTGGAGGTCATCTAGTCCAACGCAGGAAACCTGTACTAGGGATTCGAACCACCGAACTGCCAACCTTTCTGATCAACAAGTTCAGAGTCTGGGGCCACCTACTAAGTCATTTCAGCTGCAGCCACTGGTGCCACCCTCCCCACTTCTTTTGCAAAGTGGGTCAAATAGCTGATAGCAAGTGTGCTCGACTGTTGACCCCCGCCCCTCCAGATTTCTTCATTTGGGGCTTTGTCGGACTACCTGGGGTGACCTGAACATCCCACCCCCTCCAAGACCAAAGCATTGTGAGTGGGAACTGTCAATTTATTCCATCTTGCCCTGCAGGGTGAGTGGATTCCAGCCCATGCATGGCACTTAATATTTTTTTTTAATGGCCTATTTTAAGGAGCCTGGTGTGTTGTAATGAAGTTAGGCAAGGGGCAAGAAAGGTTGCGCCCTTTTGCCTTTTTTGGGTGTGTGTGTGTGTCTTATTAAGTATATAAGGTGCCTCAGGTCAAGGGCCAGCAATCTGTGGCTCTGGAGCCGCATGTGGCTCTTTTCTCCCTCTGCTGCGGCTCCGTCACCGGTTGGCACCACAATTTTGAGAGGGGCTTCCAGTGGGGGGTGGGAGGGAAGCACAGTGCGCCAGAAGACTCTATGGCAAGGGGAGGGTTTTCCAGTTGTCTCCACAATTGATAGGGCTTTCGGTTATGACAGGTAGAGGAAAAAGTATGCCACACTAGGAGGAGACTCTTATGGTGGGGGAACTGAACTTCTGGTCAGCTCCAGAATTGAACAGGGGGCTTCCGGTTAGGACCTTTGTGGCTCCTGGAGTTTTCTTTTCTGTAGGAAATGGGTCCAAATGGCTCTTTTGAGTGTAAATTTGCCGACCCCTGCCTTGAGGTTGAGCAAGGTCAAAGGCAAAATGGACTGCTAAATTGGTCACACCCACCCAAGCACATGACCACCAACCATGCCCCGCCCTCCCAACAGTATGAGTGACCGTGAATCATTCCCCCCACATCCCCGGTTTTAGTAGTTTGAGGGGCCTGCTCTAAGGGAAGTTTTGGCTCATAGGCTGCGCTAGAAGTGAGAGAATAGGCAGAGCCCCAGAGAGTGGGGAGCTCCTGGTCCCTGGGGGCTTCTTCTCCTGGAGGCCCCCTTAAAAGTCCCACCCGCACCCCAAGTGCTAGGAGAAGGCTGCAAGGGTAAAGGTTCCCCTTGCACAGTCGTTCCTGACTCTAGGGGGCGGGGCTCATCTGTTTCAAAGCCGAAGAGCCAGCGCTGTCCGAAGACGTCTCTGTGGTCATGTAGCCGGCATGACTCAACGCTGAAGACGCACGGAACGCTATGACCTTCCCACCAAAGGTGGTCCCTATTTTTCTACTTGCATTTTTTAATGTGCTTTCGAACTGCTAGGTTGGGAGAAGCTGGATCGACAAGCTCAGCATCTTAGCCACCGCATCCTGCAAGGGTAGAAAGTGGCTACCCCCAAAAGAGGGCTGGCTTTTGGACTCTCCTTTAAACCTCCGACTGGCTGCGGCGTCCCATTGGTGCCCTGCTTCGCCACTTCCCTTTGGAACTTGGCATTTGCCCAGTAGCATTGGAACTGACCTCTTCTCCCTACCTGACTGCCCGCCTGGCACTCAGCTCAGAGGGTACCCAGCTATGGCTAGGTCCTGCTTGGCCAGGTGTCCCCAAGGTGGATCTTTGAGCCTGGCACATACCCGCCCTTTCTTGGGTAGAAAAGGGGCTTCGGCCCCCGCGCCCGTGCTGGGAATTGGAGGAAAGCCTCGGTGCCATTTGCTTAGATCTCTTTATTAGTGGGTGGAATGCCACATTCACAGCCTGCTTGACAGCATGCCCGGGACTGGGCTAACTGCTTGAGTGGAGCCTCCGAGCTAGGGCAGCCGAAGAGGGGAGGAGGCCCCGGCCGCATTATCTCTTTGCCCGCACAAAGTACAAGGCGTTCGTTTTGGGATAGTACTTGACGTTCTGCTTCTTGTCCATCAAGCCGCCAAAGATGATGACTTCCCCCCGCCCCTGGACCACTGTGTGCAAGCTAGTCTCGGGGGGCCCCACCACCGAGCTACCATGGAACACCTTCCACTGGACCCGTCCGCGCCCTTTGACCTCCTTCACGTCCAGCACGTACATCTGCATGGGCTTGCAGTTCACGCTCTGGTAAAGGGGCTTGCCCACGTTCAGCGACTGAGGCGGGTGATGGCCCAGGCGACGAGCAATGGGTGGTAAGGCATGAGCGTCCCCTTGGGCAGAGCTGGATCGAGCGGTAGCAGAGACGGCGGCTTCGGCGGGGTTGGCGCTGCTCTGGCTGCCTGGGGACCCTGGCGAGGACCCTCTGGGCGGGCTTCTGACCGCCAGAGTGGGCAGGGCCTTGGAAGAGAGCGCTTGGACTGCCTCTAGGCTCCGCCGCAGCGCACTAGGAGAGACGGCTCCTGTCAGGCAACTGGACACATGAGGCGGGGTGTGAATGCCGTTGGTCTGATCCGGGGGATTCCTGAGGCCTATCGTGCCAACCGTCCTGCTCTCCGCACCATCCAGCTGGCAGACCAGAGAAGGGGGTTTAGCCTCCCAGTTCAAGTCTACGGCTGCCAGGCGCAGGTCCTTCTGATCGGGGAGAGAACCCCGTCTGGGTGCCAAAGAAAGGCCCGCCTTTGGCTCGTAGCCTTCGGCAATGGAAGCCGTGCTGGGCGAGAGCAGCTGGAGAGGGCTGTCTGGAGAAACCCCACCCACGGCGGCGGTGATGCCAGGAGACAAGGCCTCGCTGCCATTCAGCACCGGCGAACTATCGTCCCTGGCCGGCGACAGGCTTCCTTCCCGGGACACGCAGGGCGTCGGCCTCTGCCCTCGGGGTCTCAGGGTGCCCCAGCGGCCATTCACGCATGGAGCCTCATCAGCGGTCCGAACTGGAGACTGAGAGCGGCATTCTCGTGTCTCGGGAAGCAGGGCGGGCGGTGTGGCGCTGATGGGAGAAGGACGAGAGTTCAAGCTAGGGCTGAGCGGCGCCCTCCCGCTGGGGGCTTGGCTGAAGACGACCACGCACTGCCCCACCTGGAAGAAAAGAAAGAGCTAGGCCAGGACGGACACAGGACCCGTTCCTGTTCTGACCTAAGATTCACCAGAGCCTGAAGCAAACTCCTGGTCCCGACAAAAACTCCTTTTATTAATTTGCTGTGAATTCGTCTCAGTCTTTCGAGAGAGGATTTACAGTCACAGAACCTTATCTGGCGTGGAGAGCTGCCAGGCCGAAATCTGCAGAACTTGGCAAGGAGTCTCGGAGAGTCACCAACCAATTCAGCGAACTAATTGTCTCCTGCAAACTCCACTCCCCTTTTGCTCCTCTTTTATTTCCTCTGGGAGGGGCCATTCATCCTCCACCTGTGGCCTTACTCCCAAATCAACCCCTGTTCTTTAGCTGTTCCCTTCATCTGGTCACTCTGCACATGTGCACACTGGGAACAGGCTCCAGCTGTTCCTCTGCCCCACTGATGTCCGATTCTGAAGGCAGCTGATAACTGTCAGTCGGCTCTGGCCCCTTCTCTGCCTTTGACACAGAGCCCTCATCAGAGCCTTCCCCAGACTCCAGGACTGACCCAGGTTCCTCCCCAA